GAAACAAATCATTAGAACAATGTGGCTTTACCTTAGCTGTCTACCATTTCACAAAGCTAGTGTCAAACAATGATGGAGTGTCATTTTCTGGGATTTGGAGTCATTGTGTGAGAGAAGCGTGGTTTTTTTTTTTAGCCAAAGAAATCACAAAATGTCAAAGTCTTAAAAAGAACATGGGGTCAACTGGGTGGAGCAACACCGCCTCTTTTTCACTGTTAACACCCCTGGCTACTTCCCCCCCCCTTCCCCCTCCCCATCCGCCGGTACCTAGCTTAACCACGTTGGCGTGCTTAGCAGACATGCAAGGCAACATATCTAATCACAAGGGCCAGCTACTTTGTCATTATTATCACATTGTTTAACTATATGCATTAAAAAAAAAGAAGTAAGTTTGGTAAAATATATCACTATCGTCACTACTATATATCACTATCGTCACTATCGTTATTCTCCATTTATATGCTGCCTCTTGGCCAAATAATTGAACGCCACAATGTCTCCTTTCACTGCTACGCAGACGACACACAGATATACCTTCCTTTGAGACCTGAGGACCCTAGGAGCCTAGCTGCTGTCAGAAACTGCCTAAACGATATCAACTGCTGGATGGCGCAAAACTTTCTCCAACTGAACAATTCTAAATCTGAAATCATAGTATTCAACCCGCCAAACACCACTCATATCTCAAAGAGCAGCCTCGGTCCCTTATTCACCAATGTCCAACCCACCGAAATCTAGGAATAACATTCGATTGCAATCTCACCTTTGAATCCCATATCAAAACAGTTGTCCGATCAAGCTTCTTCCATCTACGCACCATCTCCAAAATTAAAACAATCCTAACCCAACGAGACCTTGAAAAGATCATCCACGCCCTCATCTTCTCCCGACTTGACTACTGTAACTCCCTCTTTTCCGGAATCACAAATAAGTCACTGTCTCGCCTCCAGCTGGTCCAAAATGCAGCAGCTAGGCTTCTTACTGGTTGTAACAGACGACATCACATCACTCCAATTTTAGCTTCATTACACTGGCTTCCTGTACGTTTTAGAATCGATTTTAAGATTTTACTCATTACTTTTAAAGCACGGACGGGGCTGGCTCCAAGCTATATAACAGAGTTACTGACACCAGCCCGCAGTCTTAGATCCTCGGGTGGGGCCCTCCTGGTCGTTCCAAAGTCCAGACTTAAAACTAAAGGTGACCGGGCCTTTTCAGTCAGGGCCCCTGGACTTTGGAACGACCTCCCTGAGGAGATAAGACTTGCAGATTCCCTCAATTCTTTTAAATCCCTTCTTAAAACATACTTTTACAGACTTGCTTTTATGTGATGTCGTCTTCTTAATGTCTTCTCTTACTGGTTTTACTATTTTTATCTTCTTCTACTTCTTACTGTCTTTTATTTATGGTCTTATCTCGTATTTATGCTCATATCTTAATCTCCTCTTGTGTTTTAACTTGGTAATTTCTTATCTTACTTACTTTGTCTATTTATGTTTTGTATTTATAGTTAATTTTTATTTTTATTAATATTATAGTTTTGGGTTTTTTGATCCTTTAACCACTTGTTTTTATTTCTTTTACTACGCTTAACTTCTCATTGCTTTTTATTTGCTTTTATCTCTTAGTTTCTTACATCTTTTTAAATCTTTGGTCCTCTTGGTCTCAGCTCGTGTTGTTGGGTTCTTGTGTTCCTGGGTTCTTATGATGGTTCTTATGATGGTTCTTATGATGGTTGGGTTATATATGTCTGGGTGTGTATCGTGCACTTTGGGTTCTTTTCTGTTGAATTGTATTTAATTATTTTTGGTATTTTGCATCTGTTATATTCTTACTGTTGTTAATGTTTTTCTGTGTTTGGTTTAGTTTGCTTTGTTCTTGCTGTTTGTCAAAGCACTTTGTAAACCTGTGTTTTTAAAAGGTGCTATATAAATAAAGTTATTATTATTATTATTATTATTATTATTATTACCTTAGCTTGCTTGGTCAGAATGAAAATTGTTTCACAACATGAAAAAATACAACGTCGTCACATTATCGTATTCAAAGAAATGTTTCCACGTACCTGAATAACAATGTCGTCAATTAATTAACGGCCTTCACGTCGTCTCGGATAGGACCAGCCTCTCAACGCCAAAGCGTGTCCGTCTTCTTCTGTCTCTTAGTGTTTTTTCCCTGTCTGTGAAGTGATGTTGAATGAACCGCGCTCTCTTCCATATATAAGCCGTCACTTCTTCCCCAATCGGAGAGGCTCGCGATTGGCTGAGCGGCTGCTCGTTGGAAAGCCCCGCGACATGCTGGCACTCCCGCGTCTTGGCAATGTCACCGATACTGGAAGTAGACTTAAAGTGGTTTGCTGTGTTACAATCATGACATCATAAGTAGTAGCCTAATGATGACTCAATACAATGTTTGAGAATTGTACAAACCCTGTGTAATATGCATGTGACTAATCAGTGACCTTAAAGTGAAGGCTGTTACATCAGATGAGTTAGATTGTCTGGAAGTTTTCTTATTGCACTTATTATCTCTTATTGCACCTGAGGTTACATCAGATGAGTTAGATTGTCTGGAAGTTTTCTTATTGCACTTATTATCTCTTATTGCACCTGAGGTTACAGGCTATAGGTTACAGGCTATAGGTTAGGCTAATAGAGGTTATAGGCTAATTAAATGTGAGTGAACTTGATAAGAGACAAAAGTGCACATATGGATGCCAAAGTTGTTATCATTAATGTCATATTAACTCCGCAAATTGAAAACAGGCTACAATGTTTACATTTGTACACGTTTGTATTAAGGTTGTTCAATTTTGTTAAATTTACAAATTATCCCTGCACTCATGTTCACTTCATTTGTCTGTCTACTCGCCGTTATATTGAATAGTTTCTGCTTATAATATGTCTACACTCATGCACTTTAACTTATGTCAATACTGTCCATTTACAACTCTGTTTTGCACATTTACATTTAATCTTTCATATTTAATTTACAACCATTTACGACTCTGTTTTTGCACATTTACATTCAATCTTCCATATTTAATCTTCCTATTTAAGACTAGTAATGCTTAGTTAGACGTTGAAATACACTGTAGGCCGATTTCAACACGTATTTTTAATGCAAGAGGCAAATTAATTCATAAAAAAAGAATATTATTTATTATTGTCTGCTGGCAGGCACACTGTAGGCCTACTAACGGTTAGCGCTAGAACTTGCACACACAAAAGTGCAGAAAAATAAAAATGACAACTTTAGACCAACAACCTGTTTGGAAATACATACATTAATCTGTTACTGTAGGCCTACATTCACAAAATATAATATATCTGTTAATATATCTGTTAATGTAGGCCTACATTCACAGAATATAATATATCTGTTAATATATCTGTTACTGTAGGCCTACATTCACAAAATATAATATATCTGTTAATATATCTGTTACTGTAGGCCTACATTCACAAAATATAATATATCTGTTAATATATCTGTTAATATAGGCCTACATTCACAGAATATAATATATCTGTTAATATATCTGTTAATGTAGGCCTACATTCACAGAATATAATATATCTGTTCATATATCTGTTACTGTAGGCCTACATTCACAGAATATCTGTTAATGTAGGCCTACAGCTGTTTGCTGTTGTTTCAGTACTGAACTATAACGGAATATCGAGTGGAACTTTTCAAAACGCGAGGCGTACTCCTGTTGTTGTTTATGTGTGTGCGTGAGCATAAATTGAGCAGATTAAAGTTGTTTGTTGCAAAAACTAGATTAATTTAGAGGGGAAAACACATTTGATATAAATACAACCCAATAGATACAAGATACAAAAATTGTGGTTTTATGCTGATCGGGTTTGTTTTTTATATTGTGGAGATTTCTTTGCGTACCACCACAGGGAGCCCATACCATAGTTTGAGAACCACTGATCTAGGTAATTGAAAGAGACTGTGCAGAGATATTATGTCTGCAGTTACAAGCAATTTCAAAAATTTGACTGACTTTGATTGTGAAAAACCATATTGCTAAAAGGTGTTTATCATTGTTGTTTACTTTGAAGTGTCATCTGTGTTTCCATGTCTTCTATATTGTTAGACATTTTTGGGGTATTTTTCCTCTCTCTGACTCCCCCAGATAATCATGAGTGGGACATCCCAGAGTGGGAGGGTTTGGACTCGCGGTATGAACACTGCTGCTTTGTCCCAGAAAGCTGTCCTCAGAGCCTGTGGGTGTTTGGAGGGGCACAGCAGAGCGGCAACCGCAATTGTATCCAGAATGTACAGCTAACAGGTAAATCCCAATTCAAATGAATCCAGTACTCTCTTATTTTCAGATGGTTTCCCTGACTAATTCCAATTCACATGAAGAAGAGGTGCTAATATACTGTGTATGTTACTTTGGAATTATCTGATGTAGTGAAAAACTAAAGTCTCTCTGCCCTCCTTCAGACATGTTTGTAATCTTTCAGGTATATAAATAACTCTATTAATGTAATTTTTGTTTATAATAATGCTGGACATACAGCGTCTTTCCATTTAACTTGATGTTTGGTTTCTATTTCAATTCTCAATTTTTCTTTTTTTTTATTTGTTTGTGAAAGATCCTGTTAGTAATTTCGGTTTATGTCAATTTTGGCGCTCTCTGTGGACAAAACAGTACATCTTATTTCACTGCTGATTTTTTCCTGTACATGTATAAAAATTGTTTTTCACAAAAAATCTCATGCTACTTTCTTCAAACAGTCAAACGTATCACTGATTGTGAATATTTTCCATGGAAATTCCTTTGCAGCGAGCTGTAAATCACCTGGTACACCTACCCCGCTGCAATAGTTACAGGCGTTCAAAAGACCAAGTATAGAAACAATCAGAGTTGTTTTCTTTTGTAGGTCATATAAGGACATTCGTTTTCATTTCAGTCTGTTTCATGACACAGACAGCAATACGGGAATATGAGATCACTTTTATCTTAATTACCCCCCCAGCCTCTTCCGCCTGGTCCCAACCGGAAACACAAGGCAGACAGCCGCCAGACAAACATGGCCATGTTATCGTAGCAGCAGGTTCAAAGATCTACATCCATGGGGGCATGGCCGGGGACAAATTCCACAATGACGTGTTCTCTCTCGATACAAGTAAGACTGATCACTCCTGAAGTGTAATACGTTTTGTGTGTGATTTAAAAAAATAAAATCTATTTTCAAAGTTTTCTAAATGATAATACAAGATTAAAATAAAGAGCCTCAAAACTTGGGAATGTCATGTTTGTTTGATTAAAAAAATAAAACAAAGTGTCTACTGTTCAAAGAGATCATGAAGTGGGAGAAGGTGCAAGTCAAAGGAGATATCCCACCAGGAGTAGCAGCCCACTCAGCTGTGGCTTTGGGAAAGAACATCTATATCTTTGGGGGAATGACAGCAGAAGGAGCGACCAACTCCATGTATAGATTCAACACTGGTAATAGAATTTTCATTAATCTTGTCATTGAATATTTGTACCTTATCACATCATACACAAAGTTGTATTACATTTAAAACTGTGGTTGAGAAGTTTAAACCTCCAATGTTATCCATTATGTTTGCAGACAAAAGCAGATGGGTCCTTATTAAGTTTGAAGGGGATATGCCCCCCAACCACTTTTTTCTCCCTAAAATTGAAAGTAGAACTATGGCACTACAAGATGAATGCTGGAGGGAGTGTCAAACATCATATACCAAAAAACATAACAGCTAATCCAGTAAAAAAAATACAATTATTCATGTATAAATTATTCATAATTTACAATATGCTGCTTTTTCCTTTTTGTCTTTTTATTTCCCAAGTTGGATTAACCCAATTAGGATAATTATTTATGCGCAAGGATATTGAAGACACTTAGAATATCTCAGTTAGAAACCAAAATATCAATTGATAGCCTTGGTTGAGTAAATACTGGATTAAAAACTATTACTTTATTGAAATATGTTAGGCCGTATTGAGACCAGTATCTGCAAATAAATTATTATTATTATTCCTGTTTTTTGAATCAACATTTTGTTGTAACAAAAAAATGTCCCCATAATGGGGGATCAAATAAGTTTTATCTTATCTTATCTTCTTTTACAAACAGTAATAGGCTAAGTATTGCTGTGTTATTATCATTTTGATTAGGCCTACCACGTAAAGTGGTTTAATTGAGTTAGTGTATTTCTATTTACATTTATTATTACTCTGGATTTTCATGGAGGCTTATAGAATAGAATAGAATAGATGTTTAGTGCCATTTGCACAGGTACAGGACAGTACAGGTATGTTGGAATTCTTGTGCGTTTCTCCCTGAGTCAGCTTCTACAAAAAAAAAGTTAAAATTATATATAAGATAGATTAGCATTGTAAGAAGAAAAAAAAGAGTAGAAAAGTATAAAAAATGTAAAAGTAAAAAAGTTGTAGTAACAGCTAAGTGATTTAAAATAAACTACAGAAGTTATACACTGTATTAAAGCAAAGATATAATACAAAATAAAATAACAAGGGGAACACTGTACAATGAAATGAAAATATAAATAAGTTTTCTTATTGCACTTATTATCTCTTATTGCACCTGAGGTTACAGGCTATAGGTTACAGACTATAGGTTAGGCTAATAGAGGTTATAGGCTAATTAAATGTGAGTGAACTTGATAAGAGACAAAAGTGCACATATGGATGCCAAAGTTGTTATCATTAATGTCATATTAACTCCGCAAATTGAAAACAGGCTACAATGTTTACATTTGTACACGTTTGTATTAAGGTTGTTCAATTTTGTTAAATTTACAAATTATCCCTGCACTCATGTTCACTTCATTTGTCTGTCTACTCGCCGTTATATTGAATAGTTTCTGCTTATAACATGTCTACACTCATGCACATTAACTTATGTCAATACTGTCCATTTACAACTCTGTTTTTGCACATTTACATTCAATCTTCCATATTTAATCTTCCTATTTAAGACTAGTAATGCTTAGTTAGATGTTGAAATACACTGTAGGCCGATTTCAACACGTATTTTTAATGCAAGAGGCAAATTAATTCATAAAAAAAGAATATTATTTATTATTGTCTGCTGGCAGGCACACTGTAGGCCTACTAATGGTTAGCGCTAGAACTTGCACACACAAAAGTGCAGAAAAATAAAAATGACAACTTTAGACCAACAACCTGTTTGGAAATACATACATTAATCTGTTACTGTAGGCCTACATTCACAGAATATAATATATCTGTTAATATATCTGTTAATGTAGGCCTACATTCACAGAATATAATATATCTGTTAATATATCTGTTACTGTAGGCCTACATTCACAGAATATAATATATCTGTTAATATATCTGTTACTGTAGGCCTACATTCACAGAATATCTGTGAATGTAGGCCTACAGCTGTTTGCTGTTGTTTCAGTACTGAACTATAACGGAATATCGAGTGGAACTTTTCAAAACGCGAGGCGTACTCCTGTTGTTGTTTATGTGTGTGCGTGAGCATAAATTGAGCAGATTAAAGTTGTTTGTTGCAAAAACTAGATTAATTTAGAGGGGAAAACACATTTGATATAAATACAACCCAATAGATACAAGATACAAAAATTGTGGTTTTATGCTGATCGGGTTTGTTTTTTATATTGTGGAGATTTCTTTGCGTACCACCACAGGGAGCCCATACCATAGTTTGAGAACCACTGATCTAGGTAATTGAAAGAGACTGTGCAGAGATATTATGTCTGCAGTTACAAGCAATTTCAAAAATTTGACTGACTTTGATTGTGAAAAACCATATTGCTAAAAGGTGTTTATCATTGTTGTTTACTTTGAAGTGTCATCTGTGTTCCCATGTCTTCTATATTGTTAGACATTTTTGGGGTATTTTTCCTCTCTCTGACTCCCCCAGATAATCATGAGTGGGACATCCCAGAGTGGGAGGGTTTGGACTCGCGGTATGAACACTGCTGCTTTGTCCCAGAAAGCTGTCCTCAGAGCCTGTGGGTGTTTGGAGGGGCACAGCAGAGCGGCAACCGCAATTGTATCCAGAATGTACAGCTAACAGGTAAATCCCAATTCAAATGAATCCAGTACTCTCTTATTTTCAGATGGTTTCCCTGACTAATTCCAATTCACATGAAGAAGAGGTGCTAATATACTGTGTATGTTACTTTGGAATTATCTGATGTAGTGAAAAACTAAAGTCTCTCTGCCCTCCTTCAGACATGTTTGTAATCTTTCAGGTATATAAATAACTCTATTAATGTAATTTTTGTTTATAATAATGCTGGACATACAGCGTCTTTCCATTTAACTTGATGTTTGGTTTCTATTTCAATTCTCAATTCTTCTTTTTTTTTATTTGTTTGTGAAAGATCCTGTTAGTAATTTCGGTTTATGTCAATTTTGGCGCTCTCTGTGGACAAAACAGTACATCTTATTTCACTGCTGATTTTTTCCTGTACATGTATAAAAATTGTTTTTAACAAAAAATCTCATGCTACTTTCTTCAAACAGTCAAACGTATCACTGATTGTGAATATTTTCCATGGAAATTCTTTGCAGCGAGCTGTAAATCACCTGGTACACCTACCCCGCTGCAATAGTTACAGGCGTTCAAAAGACAAAGTATAGAAACAATCAGAGTTGTTTTCTTTTGTAGGTCATATAAGGACATTCGTTTTCATTTCAGTCTGTTTCATGACGTAGACAGCAATACGGGAATATGAGATCACTTTTATCTTAATTACCCCCCAGCCTCTTCCGCCTGGTCCCAACCGGAAACACAAGGCAGACAGCCGCCAGACAAACATGGCCATGTTATCGTAGCAGCAGGTTCAAAGATCTACATCCATGGGGGCATGGCCGGGGACAAATTCCACAATGACGTGTACTCTCTCGATACAAGTAAGACTGATCACTCCTGAAGTGTAATACGTTTTGTGTGTGATTTAACAAAAAATAAAATCTATTTTCAAAGTTTTCTAAATGATAATACAAGATTAAAATAAAGAGCCTCAAAACTTGGGAATGTCATGTTTGTTTGATGAAAAAAATAAAACAAAGTGTCTACTGTTCAAAGAGATCATGAAGTGGGAGAAGGTGCAAGTCAAAGGAATATCCCACCAGGAGTAGCAGCCCACTCAGCTGTGGCTTTGGGAAAGAACATCTATATCTTTGGGGGAATGACAGCAGAAGGAGCGACCAACTCCATGTATAGATTCAACACTGGTAATAGAATTTTCATTAATCTTGTCATTGAATATTTGTACCTTATCACATCATACGCAGAAAGTTGTATTACATTTAAAAGATGAGAGATGAGATGAGATGAGATTCAACTTTATTGTCATTACACATATACAAGTATAGAGTAACGAAATGAGGTTTGGCATCTCACCAGAAGTGCAAATAAGCAGAAAGTGCAAGAGTCTGTGCTATGTACAGTAATTACAAAATTTACAGATGTAGACAAAAAAGTGAATTATTAGGTATTTCTGGATGGCTGGATTAATGGGATGCAATAAATATAAATAAATGCTATAAATAAGTGATGCTACAAAATAAGTGTATTTTAGGATTATAATATACAGATTAAGGTGCAGTGAGCATGCTATACTAATAATATACAGATTAAGATGCAGTGAGCATGCTATACTAGTTTACAGATAATATAAAGAATATGGACATAATATGAACATACTATAATACAATAATACAGGTTGAGAGATGTGTGTGTGTGACCAGGAGGAGTGGTGGGGGATGATGGGTGTGAGGTGATATGCAGGGGAAAGGGGGGGGGGGAGAGAGAGACAGAGTTCAGAGTTCGGGGGGTAGAGTTCAGTAGAGAAACAGCTCTGGGGAAAAAGCTGTTCCTCAGTCTGCTGGTTCTGGTCCGGAGGCTTCTGAAGCGCCTGCCGGAGGGCAGGAGGGTAAACAGTCTGTGGGCAGGGTGGGAGGAGTCTTTAAGGATGCCATGAGCTCGCCGCAGACAGCGTGTTCTTTGGACATCCTCAATGGCAGGAAGTGGACACCTTGTGATGCGCTGGGCGGTTTTTACCACCCGCTGTAGCGCCTTACGGTCTGCGACAGAGCAGTTTCCGTACCAGACTGAGACACTGCTGGTCAGGATGCTCTCGATCACACAGCGGTAGAAGTTCATCAGTACAGCTGAAGACAGGTGGTGTCTCTTCAGTGTCCTCAGGAAAAAGAGGCGTTGATGAGCCTTCTTAACCAGACTGGAGGTGTTAGTGGACCAGGAGAGGTCCTCTGTGATGTGGGTCCCCAGGAACTTGAAGCTGGAGACACGTTCAACAGCCATCCCGTTGATGTGAATGGGGTTGTGCGTGCTTCCTCTTTCTCTCCTGAAGTCTACGATGATCTCCTTCGTCTTGCTGGTGTTGAGGAGCAGGTTGTTGTCAGCACACCAGGCGGCCAGATGCTGTACCTCCTCCCTGTAGGCCGTGTCATCGTTGTTGCTGATGAGGCCAATCACCGCTGTATCGTCCGCAAACTTGATGATGGTGTTGGATCCATGTACAGGTCTGCAGTCGTGAGTGAAGAGGGAGTAGAGGAATGGGCTCAGCACACAGCCCTGTGGTACGCCTGTGTTGAGTGTGATGGTGGTGGAGCAGGTGTGTCCTGACCTAACATACTGGGGTCTGTTGGTCAGAAAGTCCATTATCCAGTGACGGAGGGAGGTGTTGAAGCCCAGGTCTCCGAGTTTAGTGTTTAACTTGGAGGGGATGACAGAGTTGAATGCTGAGCTAAAATCAACAAACAGCATTCGTGCATATGTGTTGTTATTGTCCAGATGAGTGAGCACAGAGTGCAGCGCAGTGGAGACTGCATCCTCTGTACTCCTGTTGCTGCGGTAGGCAAACTGGAATGGGTCCAGTGTGGGTGGGAGGCAGTTTTTCAGGTGTGCTAGGACCAGTCGCTCAAAGCACTTCATTATGATGGGTGTGAGTGCTACAGGGCGGTAGTCGTTCAGGCCTGTCGGGCTGGAGTGTTTCGGCACTGGGACAATGGAGGTGGCTTTGAAGCATGCTGGCACAGCTGCTTGGGCGAGGGACAGGTTGAAGATGTCCGTAAAAACCCCAGTGAGCTGCTCCGCACATGCTCTAAGCACGCGCCCGGGGGTGCTGTCTGGACCAGCAGCCTTTCGAGCGTGCAGCGTGGATGTCTGTGGAGGTGAGTGAGAGGGGCTGGTTGTCTGCAGGAGGTCTGGTCGTGGTCTGCGTCTCTCTGTTGTCTCTATCGAAACGAGCATAAAAGTGATTTAGCTCGTTCAGGAAGGAGACATCTGTGGTTATCGGGGTGGAGTTTCTGGGTTTATAGTCACTGATGGCCTGGATGCCCTGCCACATGCGTCTGGGGTCGGAGTTGGAGAAGTGTTCCTCAACCTTCAGCTTGTAGCAGTGCTTGGCCTTGATGATGCCCCTCCTCAGGTTTGCCCTGGATACGCTGTAGGCCATTGCATCATCTGATCTGAAGGCGGTGTTGCGGGCCTTCAGCAGGAGACGCACCTCCTTGTTCATCCATGGCTTCTGATTTGGGTACGTGGTGATCTGCTTCCATGTTGTAACACTGTCGATGGTGGTGTTGATATAATCCAGCACAGAAGAAGTGTAGGTGTCAATGTCTGTGTGAGAGCCCAAGGTAGCCTGAGAAGCAAACATACTCCAGCTGTGTGATGGAACTTGTCCTGAAGTACAGAGTCTGTCCCCGCTGGCCACACTTTAATCGTTGTAAATTGTCTTTAATTGTCGTAAAACTGTGGTTGAGAAGTTTAAACCTCCAATGTTATCCATTATGTTTGCAGACAAAAGCAGATGGGTCCTTATGAAGTTTGAAGGGGATATGCCCCCCAACCGCCTGGACCACTCCATGTGTTTATTGCCCTGGACGGTGCATGCTGAGGGGAATGGAGATAAGGAGCAGGCCGACTGCCCAACAGCCTCAGAGACAATACATTTGGCCTTTGTATTTGGAGGGATGGATACCCAGGGTGTCATTCATAATGACTGTGTTGTGACTGTGGTTTCATGATGATGTAATACTCACTAAAGTTTAAAGAAATTGTTTTTAAGAACTCTTCTGTCTTGATTAAATCAACAAACCCAAGATACATTTTTTAATTCTATGAATACTGAAATGGCGGGTTTCCAAGTTTGGAGCTCTTGAGAATTCATCTTAGTGCTACAAAAGGCTGAAATATTGATTGTGACCAGGTACACTATGAAATGACAGACACCAGATTTGGATTTTTTTATCAAACATTTATTTCAATGTCTTTCCAGAAGTACAACGACCAGATTCAATAAATAACTTTTAGCCTTGACTGTGGACATAATGAGCCCTTGATCCCACAGACTTCCAACTCAAATGACCCACTAACACCTGCCCCAACCCACCCACTAAGTCCCTCCCCACAACATCACCCCAACAGGACTGCCTGAGAACAGCAGCAGCAAGCCTCATATCCAGGCTGACGAATATCTCCGCCTTCCAGCGAAGAGAACACCTCTCACACACTGAAACTTGTTTTTTTTTTTAAAGTCTTTCAGAGGATTTAGTAGGGTTGCTTGTTATGGCCACCCCTTCCCAACCGTTCCTCTCACGATTTGAGTCTCATCAGTTCATTATGTACATCTAAGTGCCACTAACAGAGAGGCAAGGGGCGACAAAACAGTTGATGGCAAACTTGCCTACAACTCATCCTTCTCGTCTTGCTCGGCTTCTGCGCCCTCTGGTGGTGGTCCTCCTGCACTGCCGTAAAGCTTGCTGATAATTGGTTGTACCACTTCCTCAAGCTCCTTCTTCTTAGCCTGGAAGTCTTCCAGCTCAGCCTCCTGGTGTGACTCCATCCACTCAATCTTCTCCTCTACTGCCTTCTCAATGATTTCTTTGTCCTCATCCGACAGCTTTCCGCCGAGCTTTTCCTTGTCTCCGATCTGGTTCTTCAGAGAGTAAGCGTAGCTCTCCAGCTCATTGCGGGCGTCGATCCTCTCCTTCAGCTTCTTGTCGTCATCGGCGAAGCGCTCTGCATCGTTCACCATGCGCTCGATGTCCTCTGGCGTCAGGCGGTTCTGGTCGTTTGTGATGGTGATCTTGTTCTTGTTGCCTGTACCTTTGTCCTCGGCTGTGACACGCAGGATACCGTTGACATCGATCTCGAAGGTGACCTCAATCTGTGGCACACCACGAGGGGCGGGAGGGATGCCAGTCAGGTCGAATGTG